GTTCAGATCTTCTACAATATGTCGAAATAAAGAAAAAAAAAATTTTTTTCAAAAAAATTTTTTTTTTAAAAAAAAATTTTTTTTTTTAAATTTTTTTTTCAAAAAAAACTAATTTTTTATCCATTTATAGTTTCTCAAAAATCTTATTTTTTCAAAAATGTTAATCGTTTTTAAAAAAAATAAAAATTTTTGGTACGGGAAGTTCCAGCAATTTGCCTTAAGGCACGATGCCCTAATTGCCTTAAGACAGAATTCCACTTACAGCTAGTTTTTAAATTAATACATCTTGAGATCCACTCATTATAAGGATATAGATGCACTAACTATTTTTCTAATGAAGACTGTAAAAATAATTCTATAACTGTTGTTCATTATTTCACAATTAATCAAAAAAATCTCAAATGAAAATTTCTATATATCTTTACGTTTCAAAGGTTTCTGAACATTTTGGCATACCATAGAAAAAATGGATGTGTATGTATGTGCGAGTGTGTATGTATGTGCAGATACAATTTTTCGTCGAGAACGCGGATCAACCGATTTAAATAATTCAAAACATTCGATTCCTAAAAAAGTAAATGTAGTAAAAAAGTAAAAAATGCCATTTGGCGGTCAAAAATATTCATTGAACATATGTAAAAAGATTTTAATAATGTGTACACGTTTTGTGTCAACTATTTTGGGTTCCGTACCAAGATATTTAATTTTAAAATTCACGTACACAGTTCAAAAAAATGCCCTCGACATTTTCGACAGTATGGAATAACCTATTTGTGTGATTGAAAAAACATTTGGTTTTGCAAAAGGCAAGTTTCGAATGATGGAGCCGTTTCGGAGGAATGGAGCGCAAAGGGTATAAAAATGGACATGCAGTTTTTGAGAGAACAGGTTATCCGATTAGATTAATTTAAAAAAATAATTCAAATTTCAAAATTCTTCAACCTCTTCAAAAAAAAATCTAAATTTTTAAAATTTAAAAAACATCATCAAAATTTAAAACAAAATCGATTTCTTGCAATAATTGAGAATATTTTGCAATTTTTTTAAAAAATCAAATATTTAAAAAAAATATTTTTTCCAAAAACTCCAAGAAAAATATTTTAATATCATTCAAGATCATTTTGAAAATTTTTGAAAACTACTTTCGTCTATTACAATAAACTCTCAGCTCCCTTATGTAGAGTCTGAGTCTGACAAAAATTATTGTTGCTGTCGTTTTTCTCTCAATTTTTTTTAATACTTTTTATCCGTTTGATAAACTTTTATACTAAAACTTACGTAAAATTCCAAGGTAATACTTTTAGTGTAAGCTCAAGTGTGAATTTAATATTATACTGCTTAATATCGAGATACCTGGGGTTGGGTTTACCTCCGACTCTAGTTCGTGCTAGCCCACGTTCCTGACCACTACACCACGACGGACTTTATAATTCACCAACATTCCAACAGTATTTCATCACAAAAGGCAACTACTGTTCTCTCTATAATAGAACGACAAATTTAATTTGAAACAAAATCTCTCTAACGAATCTGTTGTGGAACTGTGTTTATTTAGAATCGTTGAAAACTGATTATTTTGAAGCTTCGCTTTTGATACCGAGGTGCACGTGTGTGAACCTAAAACAACTTATCAATTTGCTAATATTGAATTAATCATAATCTTCATAAGCCAACAGCCGAATGCCAATTAATTATGAGTTATTATCGAGCCAATAATGGACTCAGGACATGTGGGGAACAAGTTATTTATGGCAAGGTATATGTAATATGAAACTATGTATGAATAAATGCTGGGAACAATTCTGCCGCAAACAGAAAAATGTTATGGCAAGGCCATGTTACGCTCCAACTTTCACACATGCTACTGAATACTGTCAAAATGTCATGTATTTGCTGTGCATTCAGGCGTTTTACACTTAAACTGCAACATCACTTGTATGTTATGAAGCTGGGTCAGAAATGCCCTGTTATCTAAGATTGTTTTTTTGACATTTGTGCGGTTTCTGGGTTAAATTTTCTATCTGACAACCTGAGAAATACGCCTGACAGCACAACAACCACATTGCTTTTGTCAATATTTTGTATGGAAAGTTCTTCATAACATGGCCTTGCTATAATTTTTCTGTTATGCGGTAGAATCGGTCCCACAGGCCAGCAAATAAAATTAGCAATGAATTAACGAAATAGGCTTAAAATTCATTTTAAAAAAAATCAGATAAAAGTAAAAAAGAGATTTGCTGTCCTGTGAAATTTTAATGCTTTTTTATCAACAACCCCTAATACAAAATCACCGCTAGAAAACCGTTTCTGCAAGTTTCAACCAAATGAAATGAAAAGCTTTATCAATTAAATTTGTAGCATTAAATATCTTTTATGATAATTTATAAATTACTCAAAGAACTGCGCATTTATAATTTCCAATAATAAATTATAGTGTAGTTTTCTGATTATTTCTTTTCTCTCTTAGAGGTGACATCGTTCGAATGAGTAATTGATTTTATAATCGGCGCACTTTGTCACAAAAGAGACACTAATTAATATACAAAAAAGATTACGGTGAGAGTTTATTAATTACTCTTAGAAAATGTTGATTTTTTTGTAACAGAATTACGAGACAAGAAAAATTAAAACGCAATTATCAATCAATATCACAATACAAAAAAAAAACTTTAATTGTATTTTTTCTTCATATTGCATGAATATCTGAAGAAAAAACTACGTTATTTACTAGAAACGGAAAATACCTGAAAATAAACAAGAAATTAGTCCTGATTAATAACCTACTGTTTTTTCTTATTACTAGTATTACTAGTTAAATAAATAATTTATTTTGTGTCAAATTCCTTGATATATACCTTAGAATCCTGGTTTTTGTTGACCTTAATTCTACATTTTCTTTGAAATAATACTGGCCATCTGATTTTCATGCAATCTATATGAGCTTTTTGCAAAAAAACACTACAATTGGTCCAGACGTGTAGACTTATGATAATGTGATGGGATTGAGTTTTTTATTTAATTATTAAATTATAAAATTAATTTGAAATTAACCCTCCATTCCAATTATGGGTTAAAGTGGTCAATAATTCTAATAATTTTGAACTTTCATTCTTAATTTCACGAAAATTAAAAGAGCTTTTTCTGCATGTCTTGTATTTCTTTAGAAAGAATATTTTTTCAATGAATAACTTTTTGACAAGTAACAAGACTTGACTTGCACTAGAAACACTATAAGATATTTCTTATTATATAGACGAGAGAGATATTTTTTATTAGAGTTAATGCTTAAAATATAATGCTTAAAATACGATGCTTAAAATCCAGAAAACCTACTGAAAAGGATCCATAAATTAGAAAAATATTACAAAATAGTTTTGTCATTTCAATTAAAAAACGCGTTTTTCTTAAAAAAAAAAGTCTGAAGTTTTTAACATTCTTGAATATTAATTGTGATTCATAATTATTATAAACAGATATTTAAAAAATCATATTTATACTGAACATTAACAAGCTACAAGTTTCAGTCCTAGATTGAACATAAAAAAATATAGTCAACCTACTAATTAACGTACTGAAATAATATAAAATAAAAAGCAAAGTAAACCTTCATATAATTATTCAAATATATTTCTTATAAACAACATAACCAAAAAAAACAAACGTGTCACAAACGTGTTAATGTGATCATTTACACTAATAACTTGATATAGAATTAGTAATCATCAAGTGTAGTATCGCAAAATTCTATATAAAATCAAGCACCTATTTATTACAAGCAACATAACCTAAAAATTAAATACAACATCACTTACGTGTCACTTATTATTTACACCTGCAACTTGAATTCGAATCAGTATTTATCTAGTATCCCTTCTCCAAGTAATCGAAGTAAAGGTAGTATTGCAAAATTTCATGTATTTATACACACCTATTTCTTACAAGCACCTTAAACTAAAAAAATAAATACAACATCACATACGTGTCGCTGTGATCATTTACACCAGCAAATTGCAATTGAATAGGTATTTATCCTGAATGCAAAATTTCATATAATTATGTACTTTTATTTCTTACAAGTAACATAACCTAAAAAATAAATGCAATCTCGGAGTAAGCAAATTAAATGTTACCTAAATACTAAACTTAATGAGAAATTGATTATATTTAACTTTCCAGACAGTCGATTTTGCTGTCAGCATTTTTAATATTTTAATCAAATATTTTAAAAAGAAATCCTACCGCTGCCACCAAAATATTGGGAAGTTTGTCGCTGTCAGCAAGTAGTACAAGATGTTGTCCCAAAATATTACGATTTTGCATAAATCTTGTGTGGATTGATGATGCTTAGCTCTTCGATCTATGGGTCTTGTAATTTGTTTATTTTTTTGGAGTATTTGCTTGACATCAAATACAATTTTTATAATATTTTACCTACCATTTACCTTTAATTACAAAAAATGCTCGGGGGCGACAAACTTTCCAACAAATTATACACACTTCAGACAAGCAACAGTATTTATTTCGTATCTTTTCTCAAAATAATTGAAGTGAAGGAAGTATTGCAAAATTTCATATAATAATGCACACCTATTTCACTGTAATGTCACTAATCATTATAACAGCAATTTTATTTTGAATCTGTATTTATTATTCCCTACCGCTGCCACCATAATGTTGGGAAATTTGCCGTTCTCAGCAAGTATCTCGGCGTCCGGGTCTTCTGCATTTTATTTGTTATCTCTCGGAATTAACTTTAATTCAAATACAATATTCACAATAATTTAACGTTTACTAAATTTTATTATACATAATACTCAAGGGTATCAACTAATAGCCCAACAAATAATACACACCTACTCCTTACAAGCAACATAACCTAAAAATAAATACAATCTCACATACGTATAACTTTGATCATTTACACCAGCAACTTGATTTCGGATCAGTATTTATCCTGTATCCTTTCTCGAAGTAATCCTTTCTCTGTACCAATGTTTTAGGAACAAATCGAACCAGCGATGGATGAAATTGCGAACAACTGTTCAGCTAACATCTGCAATACAGACGATACAAAAGAAGCCTCCTTTGAAACGAGAAGATTCCTTCCTCAAACGATTCTCCACTAGACAGATTCCGGAAACACAGGAGACGGTTGAAGACACGGGTAAGATGTTGGAAATAAAATAAATTGTTGAGGATGTAGTGCGATTTAACTTTTACTCATATTTTACATACTATTTTTATTAACATCCCGTAGGGTAAGTTATAGTAATCGCAAAAAAGTCGAAATATAATTTTTGAAGTAAAACTTCTTTAGGCGCGATCATGGTGTAAATCCGTACAAATGCAACGGAAGTGCGTTACGGCAGATAAGATAAGAGTCGAATGCCAATGATTCATCATTCGCTCACGATGATATCATTTCTATACGGGTCGATTGTGATTAGTCGTCGCGTATGTGAGTAGAGATCTGTCGTTGTTTGCGTACCGGCATCAACAAGTAAATCGGCTTATATAAATAAACATTTTAAAGTCACATC